TGCTGGCCTGACGTTACTCTTTGTGCTTGTTTTTATTGTGTGTATCTGCATTTGTGCTGTAATCAATGTATAATTAACATAATTTTGATATTGATATTTTAGAAGCTTGTGTCAGGCTCAGGCCAAGCTACAGGCCTATGTTATATGTGGTATTAAACGAGGCGGAGCTGTCAGATCTTGTACAAGCTCTCGGCTTTCGTGGAGTGTCTCTGCCTGACATTTCCAAATGGCTGGGTCAGACACACAAAGACTAAGCTGCCAGAGTGTTACATGGATATCTGAGTTATCTCTAAAGTCCCAAGTCTTCTCAAATCATCTGCACTTTAATAAGTGATCCTGTGAATTATACATTTCTGTCACACAAAGTCACTTCAGCAGAGATAGCCTCATGCCAAAGGGATGTGGAATAAGTACGCCAGGGAAAATAGAATCATGTTTTGTGAGTTTCTTGTCTGGCAAGACTGTGGTACTTTGACCTTTATCTCCTGCTGGCCTGATGTCTGTGTTCACTGTCACAGCACCCACAAACAGCAGGTATGAAATAGTGTAAAGGAGGATACAACAGCAATCTGATTTTTGCATAGAAATGATGAGAATCCATTAAGGTTCTCTCTGGAACTATTTTATAATGTGCAGCATCTCCAGGGAAAATCGTGTACTGCTGAATAGCCTATGTGTGTATGAGATCTCCACTTTGCGTGTCAAGTTTAATTGGCTAAGATGATTTGACTTAAAAATAGTTTTGGACATTGAAGTACATGGTTAGAAATAGTGGTTAGAAATCTAAGAATGATATTACAAATTTTTGAAAATGACTGATAGAACTACATTTAAATGAATAGAGGTAGTTTTTAAAGGATAATTAGGTAAATGTATAAGTGAAGTCGATAAATTGCACAGACTGGATGAGGCTGAGGTGAGTAAGTTAATGTAATAATATATTTTTACCCCAAAATGACTGTAGTTAATATTTTTTTGAAATAGAAGTGTCTAATATTAAAGTGTTTTGTTGCTGCCTTCTTGCACAGGTGTTTTTCTACCCACATACCAACAAATAGTGCCGTCATTGCTAAATAAGCTTTCTCTGGAGGATCAGTCCCAGAGGCTTACGGTCAAGACCATCTCCCTGTAGCTGATTCTGCTGAGTGCATGTTCCAGTCCTTCCTCCCAGTTCAGTCCTTTCATAAGTGCAGCTCAACTGAAAACACCGAGAGCATCTCATCCTCGCTTTACACTGAGGCAGAACTGCTATCACTGCACAGTCAATAAGTCTGGAGAGATTTACAGTCGGTCTCTAATGAGCAATCAAAAGTCAAACCAGTCCTGTGAAAATGAACCTATCTCAGAGGCATTGATTTCTGTAATTAATGTATTTAAAAGATGCACGCACATCATAATTCCTAAATTGTTGCCATGGATGCAGGTGTTTGCAAGATATGTGAAATTACAATGCAGCAACTTTTATTTGAACTAAAATTAAAGTTAAAATAGGAATATAGGAAAATAGTTTTGAGAAATGACTTTTACAGTTTGTTATATTTCTAAAGAGTAATATTGCTTAAGGTTTTGGAGGGATTTTACCTATTTTGCACATTGCTTTCTTAGATAACAGTATAATACTGATTTTCGGTCTTAGTCAATTGCTAAAATTTTCTTTAATTTTACAGTTTTAGTCAAAGATTGTGCCTCAGATGAACCAACTGTGGAGTCCAAACAACAGCCTGGCATTAGTCCTGACTGCTTCTTTTTAACATCAGCTGTTTCTCTTTGAAGGCCACTCCAGGCCGCTTACCTTATTCCAGTATGTAGGGGGCACAGTAAATGTGGTTGTGCCCACAGTGAAGTTTAGAGGATGTGGAGCTTTGGTGTACTGTAGATCGGATTCACGGATTGGCTGGCACCCAACATTTTCTACTGGTTCACTGCCATATTTTTGTGCGTGTGCGTGCATGTACGCCAGCTTGCTTGCATCACATACAGTATGGATTAGCTGTGTTATCCTGTGTTTGCCTATGATTTGACTCCTGGTGGGAGGCAGAGTAGGAGATAGGAGGATGTTGATTGGTTGGTGGTTGAGCTGGCCCAGCTGTAACCTCAGACCTCCTCTGTCACCTGACTTCAGTCCCATTGGCACCAGACTGCTCAAATGAACATAATGTGTCTATCTCACAGAGAAAGTCAAACAGGAAGAGAATGACTGAAGTTAAATTATTCTTAGCTTAAAAGCAATTATTTGTAAAGTAATAAAAATAATAATACACTTTATTTATTAAGCACATAAAACAGAGAAGTCATAAAATCATCATATTTAAAATGTGGTGTGAAAAACCAACTCAGCGTCGGAAAAGTATCTTTGTTTTATTTGAATTATTTTTTAATTGAAATAATTGTCTTTTCACCCCACTCTTTTACTACTGTTAGTCTGTCAGACAGTACAGTTCAGTACAGCTACAGTATGTCTTTAGTCTTGACATCTGAGAGTCTGGACCAAAGAGGTGCACTTGTAATTACTGGTTGCTAACACTGCTAAAATGTACAGTATGTGCAACTTGAAATGGAGTAGTGTAAGGTGTAAGGTGTAAAGACATGACTCAGTGTTAATCATTGTCTAGAGAACACAATATAATTCAACATGTTTACCATGACATTTGGTTCAGAAAGTCAAGTCTGTGGTACCTATTCATCTTATGTCATTATCAGGTCAAAATTTCAGCATGCCCAATTCTTTGGTTTGTGACCAAATACTTGAATTATCCCCTGGGGGAAATTCATGAGTCCATTAGCTCATTGTTGATAATAATAATAATGATAAGGATAATAATAATAATAATAATAATAATAATAATAATAATAATAATAATAATAATGATAATAATAATAATAATAATAAAAACAGAAGGAGGCAGTTCTTGTCGCTCCATTCACTGAAGGCCATATCAGATCCCTGTACTCCTCTTCCTGCCCGTTCCTGATGCACGCCACAATAGCTGTGTCATCTGAGTATTTCTGGATGTGGCAGGACTCAGAGTTGTATTTAAAGTCCGCCATATACCAGGTGAACAGGAACAGAGCCAGAACAGTCCCTTGTGGAGCCCCAGTGCTGCTCATCACTGTCCCTGAGACACAGTTACCCAGCCTGATGTACTGTGGTCGTCTTGTCAGGTAATCCACAATCCAGAACGTGAAGCAGGGATCCACCCCCATCCCTTCCAGCTTGTCTTTAAGGATCGGGGGTTGGATGGTGTTAAATGCACTTGAGAAATCAAAGAACATAATCCTCATGTAACCACCTTGCTCATCCAAGTAAGAATGGGCCGGTGGAGCATGCAAAGGACAGCATCATCCACTCCAACATGTATGTATCTTATAAACGTTAGCATGTTAGCATTGTTACTCAGTGTATGTTAGCATGCTGAAATTAGCCTTTAGCTGGGAAAGAATTTTCATATCAGCCTCCAAATAATTATTCTGAGTCAGTGATATCAGGAATTTCACATTGATGAAGTCAACATACCTTTGGCAGAATGGCTGGTTACATCAAACCAAAATCCAGTATTTACACTAATACAATCCATTCAATCCATGGCTCAAAAGTAGCCAATTTAGGCTGTTTATCCGGTGTGAGTGCCAGGTTTGCATTACCTTGGAATAATGTGTCCTAAGTCAGAATATGTGGTGTCAACATTACATCAAAACCTCTGTCTTGTTAAAAAAAAACATCAGCATGAAAACAGGACAATGTGGAATCTGGTTTTATAGGCCTACTAACTTTCTTTACAGATAGTGTTGTAAAGTCTTTACAAGACTGTTAGTGTCCAGCTTTATGCATATGAAACCAATATGTTTTGGTTGGGACCAGTTCTGGGACCTTTGACTGCAGTGATTAGAATTACTAATTATTATTATTATATTTGGGTGTTTGTACCCCTGAAAGGCCGAAAATCTGTCTACAGATTTCTAGATGGGGCTAAGGCTGATCATGAATTGTCCTGTCTGTCTTTCCCCCATTTTCTTGTCCATCTTTCTACTTTATGTCTCTTATAAAGGAATAAAAATGTCCAAAAATACTTGCAGATAAAAATGTTTTTCAAAAACAGTTTTTCAAATGACGACCAGAAATCAAAGTCTTTCTGCATCTATAGAAATCCATTGCTAACACTATGAGGAATGAAGCAGCCTCTCTGTTCTCAGATTCATCACTGGCGATAACCACAGCACTGATCATTACATCCCTCACAGAGAAACCGACTGCTCCGGGCTCCGAGCTCACTCCTATTGTTCCACTTACCACCTGCATGGATAACTGAGTTTCACTGCCACACACATACATATACACACACACACACACGCGCGAGCGCACACACACACACACACACACATACACACATAGTCCTGCACAGTCTGCTGCTTATTGGAAACCTTTCAGCCTCTGGGCCAAAGCGGGGCAGATTTGCACAGAAGAGGAAGTCAACCAGAGCTGCGTGTCAGTGCTTCTGCTCTTACACTAAGAAGCCATTTCCTGCTTGATTATTTATGATCCTGATGGATAATCTAGTCTTAGATCAATTACCCTGAGCAACCTATGAGCTGCATATTACAGTGACGGTGAATAAATCTGTCAGTGGGAGACATCTGGTGAAATTTAAAGTCCTTTGGCATGGATTCATTACAAATCTTTCCTTGAATGGAATGTATTTGGTTTCCAATCATACAGTAGATTTAACAACATGAGTGGTCTCTGGTAGGAAGCTTCGTGTTACAATATATTTAATAAAAGGGCCAAGTTATAAACACTTTACAAGCTTTATACAATGCTGCCCTCTGCTGAACGATCAGGGGAAAAGCACTTACAGCTCAGCTCAGCTAAAGTAAACTAAATGAAAACAATTCAAAAATAAACGTTGATGTTATGAAACTAACACTGAATTATGTTTTTGCTGTTGCTGCTTCCATTTAACTGACAGATATTGTATATTTTTCTGTCCCTCCTTGTCTTGCAGGTATTTTATTTTCAACGCTGGTGTTTGGCCCGGCCTGTGGCTTCATCTTAGGTTCCGTCTGTACCAAAGTCTATGTTGATGCTGTCTTCATTGACACCAGTGAGTTGTCATTTATTCTTTGTTTACACTGTTTCCCTGTGCATTAGTATATTTGTATTGAACCTTTTGGGAAAATTAAGAATATCATTACACCAAAATGAAAATATTAAAAATTTTGAAACAGACAGAATGTACTTCCAGTGGAACCCAATTTCTTCACATTGATCTCTGAAATTTCATCTTACTGCATCATTCAGCAGCCAATCATTGTGCTAAATTCCCCCCACCTCCTGTGTAGGTAAGCTGGACATCACCCCAGATGACCCTCGCTGGATCGGGGCGTGGTGGGGCGGCTTCCTCCTTTGTGGTGCCTTACTCTTCCTGTCAGCCCTCTTCATGTTCGGCTTCCCCCAGGCGCTGGACGAGCAGGACATGGACGGTGGAGGGGAGAGTGAGCAGGCCATGCTGCCTTCTTCCCTGACCCTGGAATACCAGGGCTCTAAACCCAACGGGGCCATTCATGGTTTTGATATGAACAGTGGACTCTCAGTCTGTGAGCATCTGAGAGGTAAGAGGGAACAGAGGGAGCAGATGGTGAGAAGTGTGAAGCCATCTGAAACAAAATATCCTTATCTTTTCTAACATTTTTTTTTCTCTTCATCATTGACTCAGTAATCCCCCGGGTAACCAGGCACCTACTCTCTAACCCGGTGTTCAGCTGCATCACGCTGGCAGCCTGCATGGAGATAGCTGTAGTTGCTGGCTTTGCTGCCTTCCTTGGCAAATACCTGGAGCAGCAGTTCAACCTTACCACCTCCTCAGCCAATCAGCTGCTAGGTAGGCAGGTCATAATAATTTCTGATTGTCTTGTTGGGTAAAGCCTTTTTGTTGTGTCTAACAATCAAATTGTTTCACCATTAAAACATCAGGGCAGAAGAAGCTTGTTAAAGGAGCTATTTGTAAGTTTAGCTATTGCTAGCCAAAGTTAGCATTAACAGCTGTTTACTTACCGATCTTGAGAAGAGCTTCAGCCATGGTTGCATTTTCAAGACTATATTGCATCCTCTGAGCAGCCCTACTTCTTCAGGGCAGAGTGGACACTACAGTGACTCAGTATCGGACACTGACGAAATGGGCCGACTGGACCGGAGTTGGCTGCTTAGCATGCTAACATCAGTAGGAGAAAAGAAATGATAGAAATAGAAGCAAAACAATAATGTTGCTTTCCAAAGCTGTAGACAGCTCTTGCTGAGTAAAGGAATGAAGTTCGGTGCTGAACCTGCAGCATTTCTTCTAGACTGGTAAGTAAACAGCTGTTAGTGCTAATCCTGGCTATGTACCAATAACAAATCTTACAAATAGCTCCTTATAGGTTATACAAATCAAAAAAATAAGAACTGTAATGACAATACTTGTGCAGTACAAGAATCTCTACTATGGAAAAATAGGACAACTTTTAGGGAAACAGTGGACATCCCTGTCTTTATCTCTCCAGGTATGACGGCGATCCCCTGTGCCTGTCTGGGTATCTTCCTCGGAGGGCTGCTGGTTAAGAAGCTGAACCTGTCTGCTCTGGGTGCTGTCCGTATGGCCATGCTGGTCAACCTGGTGTCCACTGCCTGCTACGTCTCTTTTCTCTTCTTGGGGTGTGACACTGGACCTGTCGCAGGGGTTACAGTGGCCTATGGCAACGAGTAAGAGTGATAACCTGCTGATGTGACTGAGGAGTCTGACTTTCTACTTGTATATTGGCCTTATTGTTGTTTTCCTCAGGTTTATATGCTTATTTGCAGTTTTATAAGAAACATATTCTAGTTATATATGACTTCCTCTCCAAACATGCAACTTTCTTGATGAGTTGTAGCTATTATTACTTTAGTCTTTCCATAATTTCTCTCTATCATAATGCCCAATGTATTAATGCAGCATTTAAAGGAATAGCTGGTCATTTTGGGAAATATGCTCACTGGCTTTCTTGCCAAGATTTAGATGAGAAGATCAATACCACTCTCTTGCCTATACAGTAAATATAAGGCTACTGCCTTTGTTTGATGTGAACATTGTACACATATACCGTCTCTGATATGACCTTTGACTTCCTCCACAGGACGTTGCAGTCTTGGCAGCGACCTGAGTCAGCATGCATCAGTAACTGTAACTGCTACACAGCATCAGTGAGCCCCGTCTGTGGTTCCAATGGAGTCACCTACCTCTCAGCCTGCTTCGCTGGCTGCACCAAACCAGTGAGTGGAGACGGTAACACTGACCGAAATAAGCTATATAATGACTACTCTGGATACCGGACACATTCATACAGACAGAGGAGTAACTAAGCTCCAATCTCTCCCTGTCTTTGTGTCAGAACCTGACCAGCTGTACGTGTATATCCAACAACAGTGAAGATGCTGTGGCTTTGCCAGGAAAGTGTCCCAGTCCAGGCTGTCAGCAGGCCTTCCTCACCTTCCTATGTGTTATCTGTGTGTGCAGCATGATCGGAGCGATGGCCCAGACGCCCTCCGTCATCATCCTCATCAGGTATGAGACTGCTGTTATACATGAACTCCACAAGAGGGAGCTGTTGATATGTATGACCAATCAAGGGCGAAATCTCAAGTGTAGAGATTTGTCAAGGTGACACTGGTACAGAGAAATACTGACAGACAAGGCAATATATATATATATATATATATATATATATTGTCACGACCCGGCTCTAAAGCCGTGACCCGCAAGGAGGGAAACGCAGACTGAGATGAAAACAAGGATAAATTTATTTAACAAAAGACAAAATCAACACATGAGCAACGCAAAAGACGATTAGATGTGAGCATCAGTAAATCTGTGGTGAGTGTACGTGAGTGTGTGAGTGAAAGGCAACGTGTGTGTGTGAAAGTGTTGGATGTAGAAAAACAAAAGACACCAACACTGGGGAAATGAATGGGGTCAGAGAGAGCACTCTGGTTGAATGAAGCTGGGGCTTTACAGTAGTGGGCAGCACCGGGACCAGGTGCCTTCAACTACAGGTTGGCAACTCCGCCCACAAATGACCTGCAGACAAATGACAATCAGGATGAGAACACAAAAACACAGCCTGAGAGCTGATGACGGAACAGGGGTCCGTCACAATATAGATATATATATGTTGCCTGTCATATTTCTCTCTCTCTCTCTCTCTCTCTCTCTCTGTCTCTCTCTCTTTCTCTCTCTCTCTATATATATATCTATATATATATAGATATATATCGATATATCTATATATATATACACATATACAAATACTGTAGATATATATAATAACAAAGAACACTGTAGGGTACAGAACAGACAGTTGAGTAGATGTGTGTGGACATCACCGACATAATGATGTCTGACACTCCACATATTGTATAATTTATTGTTAGTATAAAATACTTAAGTATATAGATTGTTTTTGTGATTTTTAGCATATATTGTCTAGACGGAGTTTGTTGTAGTGTGAATTTCCTTTGTACATCTAAATGGTTTAGATCCGGTTACACTGTTGGCTTTATACAACCTGACTGATTTCAGATTTCCGGCTGAAATAATAATTGCTGCATCCCCAGAACTCCGCAACGACTTTAGTGTGAATGATTCTATCATGACCAATAGAAACGATGGCCATAAGTTCAAAACCAGTCCCAAGTTGCAGTAAACCAGAAATATTCTTGACCCTAGTGGCAAAGGAACCCCTAACCTGTAGTCTGTGTAGTGCCTTGTAGCAGCATTCAGATCACTAGTACACATTGTTCATCCCAATCGTTGCTCTGTTTCAGAACCGTAAGTCCAGAGCTTAAATCGTACGCCCTTGGAGTTCTGTTCCTGCTCCTGAGACTTATAGGTAAGAAACATCAGTTAACATTAACATTAGTCTTATAGTATACTTCAAATAGCATATTTCTAATTCCATTCATATTGGTACACTTTCTGTAATAAGTCTCACACTGCTGTGTTTGTTCTACCTGTTATTGCCCTGAAGTTTTACTCTGTCATGTAAATGTCAGAGTAATTTTTTTTACCTTGGATGAAATGAACTTCATTGGCTTGTCTATGAAGATAGTAGACCTCAACTCAAACTAGTGCTCTTTGACCTTTTGACCTGCTGTCTGTCCACCTCAACCCCCACCCCCTTTCAGGCTTCATCCCTCCCCCTCTGATCTTCGGCATGGGCATCGACTCCACCTGTCTGTTCTGGAGCTCGGTTTGCGGCGAGAAGGGAGCCTGCATGCTGTATGACAACGTGGCCTACAGGCATCTGTACGTCAGCATCGCCATCGTCCTCAAGTCATCAGCCTTCGTCCTGTACACCACCACGTGGCAGTGTTTGAGAAAGAACTACAGGAAGTACATCAAGAACAGCGAGGGTTACCTCACTCCCACCGAACTCTTTGCCTCCAATGTGACTCTGGACAATTTGGGCAAGGAGATCACGCAGAACCCAGTCAACAGGACAAAGTTCATATACAACCTGGAGGACCATGAGATGTGTAACAACATGGAGTCAGTTTTATAGTGTCACTCTGCACCGGGACTGCAGACTAGAACTGTTAATGTGCAATTGACCTGATGTGCGATGTTTCTTTGGTGTCGTCTTGGTTTAGAAGAATGTCCTCAGTAAGGGTTTTATCTTCTTCTCACCCAAAACATCAGACATAATGACAAAATTGAAGAGGTGTTTCCCAAAATGCTCTATATCCACATTGCACTCAATTTTTTATTTTCTATTTTTTACTAAAATATAAATTATCCAGTATTTTGTCAAAAAAAACAACACATTTCTTTTTGTTTTAGCATTTTTTTTTCTAATTTGACACGTGAGTAGGGACTGAAAGCAAACACTGGGAGAGAAAGGAGGAATGACACATAAACTCCGCCATATTTCAAAGAGGGATGTTGCAGTTATGTGTTATGCATCTTAGACTATTCATCTACCAGAACACCCCAGGATTGATTTTCTTTATAGTAACACCATTAAAAGTTAAGTGAAAATAGTCATATTAGATTTAGATGTACTTTAAATCCAGAGCTGTGTGAGAAGCAGAAATCTGTTTATTCATCGGCTTCATTAGACAGTTTATTTTCCTTTAGAAGGAAGTTTTTCTCAGGTCCAAATGTCAGATAGAGTGAGAGTTAACATGGTCGTTCATTGTTAGATGATGCATTTTTAGCTTGTTTTTGGAGCACTTTTCAGATATAAAGATCATACAGCTGTAGTGCAATTGGGACCTTTTCATTCAGGGAGTGTCAATCTTGCAACTGCTAGGCAACCCTACCCGAATACTTCTTAACACACTTCTGTGCCAATAACCCCCTTACCCTCACCCAATATTTTAATTCATTTTAAATACAGACATGTCAAAACTTCAGTTGGGCCTGTTTCCTGGCTACATCATTAAAAAGTTTAGAGAAAAGGAAAAGAGAAAAGAAGTATAGATAAAATACCCCTCTACCCCAAAACCAAACCAAAAAATGATCTTTTCATTAACCTTAACCCCAGTGATCCAGACCAGATCATCATAGAGAGTATGAAAATGAAAATGTTGTTTTGAAAATGAGTCATATTACTTGTAGTCTTATAGAATAACCCAGAAGTTGAGTTTACAAAAATACATTACCAATGTAATCATTTATTTTACATACTTGTGCTAAAAGTGGGTTTGACTTTTTCTCAAGAGGTGGATATCCCATTTTGGAGCCAAACTCTTCAGTTTGAGTTGATGTTGCACACATTGTTCAGATTTTAGAAAATAACAAACAGTCTTTCTTCATTGCCTTCAGGGTAATTGGCCTGCTCTTGTTCCAGAGGGAACTTAAGGACATGTGTTGAAGGTAGAGGAGTGTTGAGCCAGTATGTAATAATTATCCCTTTGCTGTGCTACAGTGTGGAGTTTTGCTGTGAATGCTGGAAAAGATTCTGAGACTCATTTTCTGTTTCAGAGACACAGAGCAGTTTTTTTTCTACTTCACACAATTAAGTTGATCATCTTTGTTTTTCCTTTGGCGTTTAAAGAAATTAGGTACACCTCCCGAAAGGTAAATGATAAAAAACAAAAATCCCTTCCCATTGTTTGAATGATGATCTTACCCAAAGCAACTGACTGAGGGTGAGGATAAAGGAGTTAGGAGGCCTACTCATGAATACTTGGACTAGACGCACATGTGAGCTGATTCAGTAACTGAACCATGTCTCTAACCAGTGATTTGACCGTGGTACCACCATTATAATTCTGTCACTCATGTCATTGGCAAATGGAGAGGGAGATACAGTTTGACTTGGTGGAGTCATTCTGCCTTCAGCAGTGATGCATGGAATACAAAGCAACATGATAAATAACAAGCAGGGAACATTGCAAATAAGACTCTCCGGTGTACATGTATGTAGTAGGGCTGACGCAGGTGAAGGCTGACTGAGAGTGTGATGTGCATTTAAGTAGAACGCCAAGTCAACACAGCGAGACGTGATGATTCTGGTGGGCTAGCTGTCAGCAGACACAGCATAGCATGACGCACAGTGTCAAGCCAGAATTAGTTCTTTTAAAAGCATGCTGGTAATGCATGTAATGATAAAAAAAAAATAAATATTCAGTATGTTACTAAGTTGCACACACTCTGTGGTTTGATGGACATGGTAATGGTTAAATACACATTTAACTCTAATGGCCTGCAAATTCTATTTTTGACCATGGAAAAGCTTTATAATGCATACTGCATTGTGTTGTTGACATTTAAAAAAAACCTCAGCTGACTCATAATCACTCACACTGCAGTGATTGTTTAAATACAGATTTTTTTTTTAAAATAATATATATATTTTTTGTTAAGGAATTCTATGGGATTCTGATTTCTGACATATCCAGTTTATAGAGAGTATATTGTTTTTCCTGGCTTACTTTGTAAGTATTTAATATGTTTTGCATCAAAAATATGGCGGTTTGTCCAGCTACTCACCATTGCAGCAGATTTCATTTCCAAAATGTTTAATCCCTTTGGGGTTTGAGATTGGGGGTTAAAGGAGTATTTCATCATTTTGGGGGGAAATACACTTGTTCACTTTCTTCATACCGAGACATGGTCATTCACATATTCCCCTGTAAAAAGGAAACTCATTTGGTTTTGTAATGAGATATACCATGTTAACAGGTTAGCTTTAAAGGTGCTCATGGGTGGATTTTGTTACTAGAGCCAACGACTGCTGGTTGTAGTTTCATATTTACTGTACAGACATTCGGAGGTGTCAGTTCTCTCATCTCTTTGCAAGAAAGCTAATAAGTGTATTTCCAAAACTGTTAACCTGTTCCTTTAAGTTCGTTAAAACCACCTACTATTATTTGAAAAGTCCCACAGTTTGGTTACTCATGTTTTATGAGTCATTTGTTTGCTCATGGTGGAGATTACTTTAAAACCACACAACTCATGTGATGTATTTAACTTCATTAAACCAACAGTATAAGATTTAAATTATACATGGATGCTGCTTTAGCGTCATAAATAATACAGAAAATATTTATCAAATGGGGAAAACAGACAGCTGTCAGAGAATACTTGAGATCAACTCTAAATGGACCTACATTCAACAGAGAGCCATGCCAAACCGCACCAGACTAATGTCTGCTTGGTTTGATGTAAACAAAGAGAGTAAAACTGCAGTTAAGACTTGAATCCTTAAAACGGAGGAATTTTTGGGTACTGGTGCCTGAAACAGTTTCCAAGCTCAAAATTTGATCATCCCCGATGGGACGTTCGGCTCCTCGCAGGACATTCAGGACAAGCCGGACATAACGCAGAGATGTACAAACAAAAGGAAGCTTCCGCAGCTCTAACAGGGAGGAGGGTGATAACTAACATCACCAGCTGGTTACCATCTTCTCCTTAGCAACCCCCAACAGGTGGCGCTGTCTTTGATATCTGTAACGTCCAGTGTGTCATAGTGCTGACTCCTCTGTACATAATAGTGCCATACAAGTGCCAAAGTGACACCATAGAAGTGTTCTGTAACGTCCTGCAGAGAACTTTGTCTCAACACGCTGGAGCTCAGAGCAGATCCTCCAGCTGTATGTAGCCTTTCTGTGATATCCTCCACTTACTTTCACCATATCATACAAAAGTGTCCCAAAAACATATTGCCTATAAAATATTGTATATTGGTCTAGAAAACAGTATTATTTAGGATGTAATAACTGTTAATATGTAGGACTTTTCTACTAGTGAAGGTATTGTCTAATTTAGATTAATCTGTCTTTCCATCAGTGGCAAAGCTGATAACTGTTTGTTGCTTTGGTCCAAATAAAAACAATACTTTGCTTGAAAATAAGTGGCACCAATGTTGAGCTATAGCCTGACATTGTACAGTAAATAAGGTTGACTGTAGAAAGTCAGCCAAACTTCACTGATAGCAGTCCTGCACCTGTGCCTGGATATAAAGCTCTATTCTGAGACTTTGTGATTGGAGCCAATGTTGTGCCATATCAACCTGTGCACTGTAACATTCAACACTCACGAAGAAGAAGCCAACATATTCTAGGTCTGTCTAATGCGCTGGCAAGGGTGATGGCGCTCGCTTGACCTTGTATTCACCTGCGGCGACAGGACTGTTTCTTTTGGCACCTAAATGTGCTTGAGATGTTTTGCCTTGCAACGAGAAAATAACTTTGGAGCATAAACGTTTTTTTTACATCCTATTGTTCCCATTATTCTCTTCTGATGACCTTGCCTTTTGGTAACAGCAGGTTGACTTTTATAGCGGATCTTTAGTGACAGAAGACTTGACATATGAAGAGTTTACTGCCAAAATATGACATTTTTGGGCAAAGCTGTTCTTATCTGAGGTGTTTCAAGAGCCATGGCCAACAATGGACAGTTATCCTGTAAATAAGTCCATAATTAGTTTGACCTTTTCATTGTCATTACTCATTTCTTACAGATAGTCACTTTTTGTAGATGAAGGATTTTATTTTGGAAGGAAACTCTTCATATGCAGATAGATAATCCTTTGGTTTGAGCCTTTAGGCAGCATGTTGCCTTTTATTAAAGTGAAACCATGTGCTAACCATGTTAGTGATGGTTTTGGAGTGATGTGTTTGCTTATTTTGTGGGCGGTATTCAATATGTGAATTTCATGGCTCTTTGCAGGGGACCTTTGAAAAGGAAAAGGGCATTGAAATAAGAAAATATCACTTATATTTTCAAAGCATCATGGAAGATTTTAGATATGCTCTATTGCTTCTTTGGTTTTGTTTTCTTTTTTCCTTCAAATTACATGAATTTATATTTAAAAGCTTTATGTTCTGTATATTTCTTGGAAAAGATTACATGATTGTATGTTTATTGTAAATACATTAAATATACTATTTTTGTTTTTAATGACCTTTTCTGCCTGATTATTATCTACAAACCTGTGGTGATTTCCTGCAGCTTAATCAGATCTCATTGTCACCGTCAGGTGGTTTTTACACCAGTGAAACCAAATTTGTCATGTTCATTATGCCAGAGTCTAACACCTGGTGCAGGTGTTAGTCTCTGGCATAATGGTTTAACGGTGAGTTAAACCAGTAGTAAATATTGTTCAGCTGATGATGTTCACATATCAAAACTCTCCGTGCTTTGAGCTAAATGCTAATGTTATCATGCTAACATCCTCACAATAATAATGCTAACATGCTAACGTTTAGCAGGTGCAATGATTACTATGATCTGAATAGTTAACAAGCCAGGGGCAGACTGAAACAATAATTCAGGCCAGGACTCA